AATGTAATCTGAACTTAACCATAACCATAATACATTCATAACATATAACTTCTACAGCAGTTACGGCCACTGGTTTCCTTACCTATTTACTGAGCCCATAACTGTGAAAATTATATATCTTTAATTGACAAATTGTAATAATGTATTACATGATTACATTTGTCACAACAACTCACTAAGACTAATCATGTAATCTATGCATTAAGTGACAATAATCCGCCCATAACAGTGGGAGGTCAGGCCTGTTATGGCATCACACTCTGGTTGTTTTACCTTATATATATATATATATATATATATACCTCTAGGTTATATACATACCTGCCAACCTAAGGCCAAAAATTTGCGTAGTTTTTTTTGATTTACAATATTTAGCAGTAGATTTTTTCAAAATACGGTAGTTTGTGGTATTTTTCAGCAAAAATGAGGGTTTTTTTGAAAAAATTCGGTAGTTGAAATGGTAGATTTTGGAAAAAAAACATACTTTTTCGGAAGTTTTTGAAAAATGTGGTCGTTTTACAGTAGATTTTGAAAAAAATGCAGAAGTTTTTGTGTAGATTTTTACGGTAGATTTTGAAAAAAATGCAGAAGCATTCATGGAACTCTTTCATAAACAATTTGAGCACATCAGTGTTTTTATAACTACAGTAGAACCTGTGGTAGTTGATGCAAAAACACTGTTTTGCATCACGATACTCCCAAGCGTGTAGACTACACACCAGTTTACAAACTAGCTTACTTATATAAGTATGCAATAACCACTGTCACAGACCTACCGACACCTATTTATTTTCGGGTTGGTAATGGAATATTACAGGGGCAATACAGGAAGACTTCAAATTTCTAGAATTTCCAAATAATAATGGTAGGTTTTACGGTAGTTTGACCAAAAATACTGTTAATTTCAGCAGAAATACGGTAGATTTCTAAATATTTAAGGTGTATTTTACGGCCATTCTTAGTTTTGGTAATTTTTTATAGTAGTTTGTCATTTTTTACGTAAAAACGAAAATTTTACGGTAGATTCACGTAAAAATACGGTAGGTTGGCAGGTATGGTATAGCACATTGGATTAGTTCAATATATAAAGTAGGGGAGTTAGCATATTGAAATACCTATACAGTAAAACTTGTATATCTGAACACCTGGCTAATCCGAACACATTCCAATTTGAACACTTTTTTTCGGTCCCATATTTTCTTCCCATTGACTCCCATATTAAAAAAACCTTGAAATCTGAACACCTCCTAATCTGAACAGTGAACAACCAGATTTGAAAAACTGTCTAATCTGAACATTTTTAGAGTTAGTTTTATTCTAGGAATTATAGATGGCTTTCATTGTACCCACCTCAAAATCATACCAATGGGGTATAACTCTGCACATCATAGTAACCAGTAAACCAACACTGATGAAACTTTCCATGATAGTCAAACATAATGATGTGAATAATATCTGTTAATTTCAGGACAAATGGTTATTTATTTACTTCAAAAAGTAGGACACAAATAAAGAATTCTTTGGAAAAGTGCCACGTCCCCTTTCTAAATTTATTTGCATTGCCATATAATCATCAGCAATAGATTCCACTATGTGGATAAGATAAAACAACAGTTGATTTAATATTATCAAACATACTCTGAACAAGTTTTCTAAAATGTTTTCATGGTGATTCCTCCCAATTTCATGAAAATAATATGTGTTTTGTCCCACAAAGTGTCTATGATCTAACCTTTTGACGAAAATGTGTACTTTTTTAACATATGATTCCCGTTACCATAGCAACCAGTTGATCAACATTAATGAAACTTGTCATAATGGTAGGACATGATAAGTACATGGTTACCTGTAAATATCAAGATGATTGGTTGTATATTCTAGGAATTATATATGGCTTTCCTAGTACCCCCCTTAAAATTACACCAGGGGGGTATAAATCTGCATATTTCCAAAATGTTGAAAAACTAGACACCATTATTTTCAGAATCAATGTAGAATAATAAACCACAAATAACCTACATGAAGAGAAATTTGCCATCTTTCAAAACCACTTTTACACCACGCTCATCCAGTAAAAGGTGTGAATCAAGAAGATAATTGATTTATCATTATTGGAAATTACCTGGATGTTTTTGATTTGGATTAGAGAAAGGTGAGAATCAAGGAGATAATTGGTTTATCCTTTTGGAAATTAAATGGATGTTTTTGATTTGGATTATGATCCCATTGGTTTGTTATGACAGCTAAGATTCAATCATTAAATGTTTATTAATCACAAAGACAACACAGACACACTTGCAGACAAGATCGTATCACGAGAAAGAGATAAAATTCTACTTCATAATATCCTATCACTAAAATGCCTCCTAAAAAGGCATATATATGAAATCCTGAATGCCCTTGATATTTTGAAGGATTATACATCATCTCGAATGAACACTCATGAAAAATTCTTGTTACTTGAAGAGGACATCTTCTCAAATATTGCTAATGCTAAAAGTGCCAAAAGTAAAGCAGTGCTATACAACCATAATATGGAATAAGTCATTTGAATAGCATAAGATTTCGTACGAGACTATCATACATGTCACGTCATATACTTATACAGTTTATTACAAAGTTTTTGTCAAAATACAAGAGTTATTTTCACTAAAATAATTAAATTGTTCAAAATGTAAATAAACCAGCATATAAGCTATAGGCCTACTTGTAGAATAAACTCATCAACAACATGTATTGTTTTCTGACTTAAATTAATTGTGCAATAAAGTTGACTGAACAATGGAAATCCCCCCCCCCGACCAGCAAAAACCTCGAAAGGAGCACATAGGCTATTGCAATGGCGTAGCCTCATATACGCAAAAAACGCCATTGCGTACTCTCAAATTTGAGAGAAAAATGATTTTTTATAATGAATTGCCCCGCACTTTCCCAACTTTCACCTGTTTTGTGGTTGAACGGAATCGAGTTGATGCAATTTTGAAATAGATATAATAAATAATAAATATTGGATAAAAATGACTAATAATTTACATTTAATTGGTCCAGATTAAGTCGGAATTTCGTATTTCAAACTGACCCAGGACGCTTCAAATGCAATCTCATTTTAAAATTTTCTTGGGGGAGAACCCCCCCAAACCCCCCTCGAACTCGTTCGCTCACTCGTGGCGTACTCTCACAAAATACCCACGCTACGCCTCTGTATTGCAAACAATTTCAAACGATTCTAACTTGAATTATAAATTTTTTCTGATCACAAACATAGGTGTATCTTTTAGATCCATTCATTATCTTCAAGAAAAGTATATATAATGATAATTTAGTTAACCAGACCTAAGGGATATTGAAGGGGTAATGGACCAATCAACATACTTTTTCAGAAATGTTGACCTAATTTTCACCAAAAATGCAACTTTTTATTATAGGTACAAAATTGAATTTCTTTTTAGGGAACATACCTGTAAAATTGTTAAAATTATTAAGATGGCTTTTGTGCGCACAAGGCAATTTATTTACAACCTGTGATATTGATTTTTGTGTATTAATTTTGTATTTCCTATTGTTAAGTCAGGGGAGGGGGGAGATTTCCCAAAGATGACCTTTCGTATTGGCACATTCGAAAACAAATTTTATTAACAGGCCTCATTTGCCATTGAAATGGATCTTCAAATGTTCGCTGTTGTTTTATGAGTATTCTTTACAAGTATGGATCGAGTAACTTCAATAGTATTACTGTAGGTTTGAAATGATGATGTTGAACTGATGTTAACACCATTGCCATTGATTGTTCACATGATCACATCCTGCAATTTGATTGGAGATGATGCGGGAGATGACGTAATGGGGAATCCCCGAATACGATAGAATATGAAAGAATTGTAGGAGCTACTCACTTCTTCTGGTTAGGCCATAAGAAGTAGATTCTTTGTTTTGCGTCCTGGCAAAATCCAAATCATGCACGGGTACAAGGAAAACAAACACAAACTCAAGAAAAAAACACAAACTTGTTTGCTGAGAAATATATACATTTTAGGGGCATAAAAAAGGATGACATCCCAATTTGCAGTGATTACAAACACATATCTATACATTTTATACAATATATAAAAATATAGCTATTATTCAAGGGTAAAAAATAAGAAAAAACACAATGTATGTCAAATAATTATAACACTGTCAATTTTGACGCACATCAAACTATCCGCCATTTCATCTGATTCTGAAATGCGATGGTACTTTCAGACCCTTGTGATTGCTATTTGGATGTGTTTTTTCTGATTTACTCAAAATCGTGCAAGCAAGGGGACGCAAAACAGAGGATCTACTTCTTATGGCCTTAACAGTGGTTAATAAGCCCAATGTGGGCTGGGTAAAATTGCAATTAATTTTTTATATTTTATAATTGAATTGTAAGACTGACCACTATAAATAAATAAATAAACTAAACTAAACTATCATATTGTTGAATGCATAATTAGAATGAGACATGTTCGATTTCCTAAAAGGAAAAGTTGATTGCTCCAGGGACTTTGAATTTGGATGACCAAAATGAACTGAAAACAATGGATAGCATGAGATTTTTCAATGGAGAAATAACATGGGGAACACTTATCTTAAAGCAATTAAGTTTTTCTTTCGAGAAATATTTGATACATTAAAATAAAGAATAGTAATGCATTAAACAATGTAAAAAATGATTGAATTTTTGGTGAAAATGAGGTCAACATCTTTGAAGTGTGTTGATGGGTTGATTGGTAGTTAAATATCTCCAAGTTTGTTTGACTTTATTATTACTGTATATAATTTTCTTTGAGATAATGAATTGATCTAAAAGATAAATCTGTCTTCATTGTCAGAAAATAGTCATAATCCAAGATATTTATTTATTTTATTTATTCATGTAATATAATTATGATTAAGTATTACATTTACACACTAGATACCCATAAGTATATCAGTGCATTATCAAAATTTGAAAAACCATAAAGGTGTACAATTTACATTCTGATACTCATAGCATCTTTCTGTTTCACCTGAAACATGCTCTGATATTATGAGGCATATTCTGTGATCTGAGCAAATCAGATGGGAAAAGTTATAACTGTCAATAAGTGTGATTGTTATCATGTAATCATCTACCTTAATGTCAATACATTACATAATAGGCATTGTATTTAACAGCAGATATTACAACAGGCACAGTTACACAAGTTTAATGACCCCAATTAGATGAAATATGAGCTGGGATGAAAGATCTCAAAAATCCTCAATTTTGGGCTCTCCTGGATCGCCAAATCAAGCTCATTATATCATGGCATCTCAGGGCTGAGAAGATTTGAGATGGCATGGTTTATCATGATGTACAATTTATATGAGTTGAACATGAATACATACAATTTATAATAATACATGTTATAAAATATTAAAATATACAATTACTGCCTGCATGATAAATCCATGAGTGAAATTATAAACATTATGGATACAACAAAATGTGGAAAAATAACATTACATGCTCACAGCTTATAGCTCAATAACAATTTATCAATATTTTTTGTAATTATATTTAAAGGAGTGTAGAGAGGGTAGAGATTGAAGGGAAGTTGGCAATTTATTCCATATCATTGATCCAGAGTATTGAACTGATTTCTTAGTTAAGTTTGATTTAAATCTACATGGAATTATATGTCGTATTTGTCTTGTGAGACGAGAGTGTTTAAAATTAAAATACTGTTTGAATAGATGGGATGGAAAAAGTGCAGGCTCTTTTACAATGTTAAACATGAATTTTTTTTTTCTTTTTCTAACTTGTGAATATCAAATATATAACCTTCTGAAATTGTTTGCGATAACCTAAGTGCTTCTTTGAACACCTGCCAATTTGAACACTTTTGGCTGGTCCCATGGGCATTCGGATTAGACAGGTTTTACTGTATGTATATTAAATGCTACGAAAAGTCTCATTTGATTTTGGGCTGGACAAAGGAAGGATGGCAAAAATCTTCTCTGAGAGTCACCTTAGATGTATTACAATAACATCATTTATTGTAGCATGTATGGCTAAATTCTGGATTGGAAGTGTGTTTATTTTCAATGTATATTCACTGGCATTGAAACACACCTTCAACTACACACAGGGTGACGTTGATATGATGGCTTCCATGCAACACTTTGGATTTCATTTTGCATTGCCAGCTGGGATAGTCCAGGATACGTTCGGACCTACGATTACATCAGGCATTGGATCAATCCTAACATCTACAGGATACTTATTGCTATGGAGCTCAACAAAGAACATCGAGTTTTACACTTCCAAACCAGGATTGTTAAAGTTATATTTCTTCATGATTGGACTGGGAGTGTCCTTCACATACATGGCAGCTTTGACGACCACTATAAGTAACTTCACCAGCAAACACCGTGTTCAGGCTTTAGCTATTCTGGAGTCATTCTTGGGAGTGGGTGCCTTTGTATTTTCCCTCTTATATGCTGTTGTTTTTACAAATGGCCACATATATGATGAACAGAACCAAAATTGGTCAGACTTTATAATGATGCTAACAATCGGTTCAAGTATCGCAAACTGTTGCTGTGTTGCCTTTTTACGAATTGTCCCTCAGTCAGATGACAGTGATGGAGAAATTGAAACCACAGATGAGAATGAACTAAAGGATATCTTTGATGAAACTAGAGATGCCTCGGAATCTACAGAACTTTTTCATCATGAAAATGCTGAAAGGAGCAATAAGCCCCCGATATATAAACTGATCAAAGAAAGCTGGTTGGATTTCAAAAGGACTTTTATAACTAAAAACTTCCAAATAATGCTCTGGTTATCGAGTATTATCCCACAAGTAGGTTTTGTATATTTAATAAACATCACGGCAATCTTGAAATCTGCCGGACTTCAGTCATATAATGGTATATTTACAATTCTGTGCCCAATAGCAGAAATGTTAGCACGTGCTATACTAGCTGTGATTGCTCAATTGCTAAAGGCGAAGTTAAAGAAACCTATTCTTTTTCTTATTACCAACATGGGTTTTGTTGTAGGTCAAGGATTACTTATTAGTCTAGGCACTAACTTAGCAGCATTACACACAGTAAATATTGTCATGTCCATGGCTCGTTCATGCTCGTTTGTGCTTATTGTGGCAATATTAAGTGATATGTTTTGCCAAAAGAAATTTGGCCGTATTTGGGGATTCATTTTATTAGTGTCCACAATTTTTAGTTTTTTATACCCAATGATATTCGGACTAGTCTATGATGCACATACAAAGATTGGCGACGTAGATTGTTCTGGACTAGCCTGCACTCAACTTACATTTATATTCACCAGTGTGTTCACCTTTGCTGCTTTAATATTGAATGTTGTACTTATTATAGACACACTTCGTATAACCTGATTTTCTTAGAGGACGCCATTCAAGCAAAAACACAAACGTGAACAACATGTCACCACCAATGGGTCATACTTTAAACTGTAAATAAACTAATCACTTGAAAAGGAAAGTTTGGTTGATTTAAAAAAAAGTATCTTTTTAATGAAATAAAAAGTTCACTTTAATTTTTATCTATTTTGAGGTTTTTTTTTAAATTTTTTGAATACTTTTGGTAAATCAACCAAAGAATGGGTAATGATATGGCGAACTTTTTGAACACACGTTTCTCTTAAACCAGTCATCAAAAATTTCTGAAAATCTTACAAATTGTCAATTTAATGGCCATCTTTTGAATGGTAACAATATAATTTGAAATAGATATATACTTTCATCTATATTGTTTTAAAAAACACATCAAACACTTGTTTTGTTCTTGGTATCATGTTTCCAGAGTGAAATGAAACATCTTTCCGAACCTCATTGGAACAAAACGACATTAACACAACATGTTTAGGTCTCTCAATATTGTAATTGTACAAAGGAAATTTTGGTTGATTTTAAAAAAGTATCTTGTTAATGAAATAAAAGTTTTTTCTTGATTTTTGTCTATTTTGGGGGGATTTTGTTTTAATTTTTTGAATACTTTTTTAAAATCAACCAAAAATTCCTTTGTATAACTTTAATATTGAGAGGTCTAAAAACATGTTGTATATGCTATTTTGTTCCAACAAGGTTCGGAAAGACATTTCATTTCATTCTAAAGAATTGGTAGAAAGGAGCAAAAACAATTACACTAAAAAAACAAAAAAATTTAACAAAAACAGTTATATAAAATATTTCTAAATAATTTTCGCATTAAATTGTTGTCAATCAGTCAACATTACATAAAATACCATGTTTTTTTACAGAATGTTTTCAATGATTGGTTTAAGAGAAAAACATTGTTGAATTCAGTTCTCCATATCGATACCTATCCTTTTCCTTTGATTAACTATAATATTGAGAGAGCTAAGAAAATGTTGGATATGCTATTTTGTTCCAACAAGGTTGAGAAACATATTTCATTTCATTCTCAAGAATTGAAAGAAAGTAACAAAAATTGCATTAAAAATCAAACAAAAATGTGAACAAAAACAGTTTTTTATTTCAATGTACTAGATATCATGATATAAGGTTAAAATTCTTTCAGAATCTTGACCTAAATAATTTAGAAGAAAGTGAAAAAATGAAACTTCTTTTCAATGAACATACCTGTAAGATAGTTAAATATATCAAACAAGCATTTATTAAAAGAAGGGAATATATTTATAATCAATGACTTTCTCTTATATACACTTAACAAACAAAGCATAACTGCTGAAATTTTATTTTTATAATTTGTAAAAAGTGGTTGATAAGCCCAAGGTGGGTTGGGTAAATAATTGTATTATACTGTATTACTGATATATATTGCATGTAGGACCGACCACTATAATATGAAATAAACTAACTAAACTATAAAAAATATATTTAAATAATTTTTGCATTGAATTGTTGTCGATCAGTGACCATTATATAAAGGACATTGTTTTTTTACAGAATGTTTTTAATAATTGGAGAAAAACAATGTTGAAATCAGTTCGCCATATCAATACCAATCCTTTATGAAATTATGAAACTGTAAACTAATTGATACATTTTAGAAATTAACTTTTAAATCAATGATGGGAGCTATTATTAACAAAGGAATAAACTAGTTTGTAAGATCCCCTTGTGACTTGTTAAGTCCCCATATAAAATTTAAATCACTTTGGCTTATATTCTAGTCTTACCTGATGTTATTGAAGTGATATGTGAAACTTTTTTTTCAAAAAGTGGTTTTTGTTTTGTTCAGAATATCGTGAATTCGTTTAAGCCTAACTTTTAGAGGTCACACATATCTTTTATTAAGAAAATCGTCCATTGGGACGGCCACACCCCCTTTGAAAATGAAAAAAAATATAATTTTTTTTATTGACTCATACACTTTGAAGGTGCCAAGAAAGTACCAAATAGCATCTCAAAATTGTAAAATTTTCTGGAGGGGATGGGCCACCCCTCTCATCCCTCACAAAACAATGGAAGAGTTCTGAATTTATTTTATGGATAATTTCAGACACTTTTAAAATGCCCAGACATCATCAAGTAGCTCTTTGATATAGTCAATGTTTCTTGGGGAATAATACTTGCTCCCCTTCTTGCATCCCCACCCCAACTCCCCCTCTGGCACCCCCCCCCCCCCCCCTCCTCCCTTTGACACCCCTCCAAAAAATGGAAAAAATGTGATTTTCTGAAATGTTTTAATTGACTCATACACTTCGAAAGTGCCCCGAGAGCACCAAATAGTGTCTTAAAATTGTAAAATTTTCTAGGAGGGGGGTAACCCTCACATCCCCTACAAACCAATTAAAAATTTGAAAAAAATTGTAATTGTTTTTCAATTTTTTTAAGGACTCATACACTTTAAAAGTGCCCAGAAGCACCAAATATCATCTTAAAATTGTAAAATTTTCTAGGAGAGTTGGCTACTCCTCACATTCCCCACAAAACAATTAAAAAAATTCTTAATTTCATATTTTGTCTAAGACATTTTTTAAGTGCCCAGACATCATCAAATAGCACCTTGATATGGTCAATGTTTCTGGGTGACTTTGACACCCCAAAAAGAACTAGAAAAATCACATTTTTTTTTATTGACTCATACTTTGAAGATCCCAAGAAAGCATCAAATAGCACCTCAAAAGAGTAAAAAATTTTATGGGGAGTGGGCCACTCCTCACACCCCATACAAAACAATTTGACAGTTTGGAAGTTGCATTTGTTGAATTTAAACACTTAAAAACTCACCAAGTGACAAAATGAAAACCAAAAAATTTCTGGCGCCCAACCCCAAATACTAAAGCATCCATTTACTCAAACATTATTAAAAGTGCTCAGAATTAACCAGACAGCATCTTGAATACGTCAAATTTTCCTGTGTTGCCCCTTCGCTCCCCTAAGAAGAATATGATTGAAAAAATCTGAATTTCTATAAATTGCTTCTATTGATTCAAACACCTTGAAAGTGTCCTGAAATCACTAAATGTAATCTTTAACTGGTAAAAAGTTATAAGGTAAACATTATGCCCTTCTACCACACCCTCCCCCTATTCCAGTGTTTCTCCAAATTGCTTATACAATATCTAGACTAACAATAAAATACTACAAAATAGGCACAGATGGCAGAATTTTTCTTGGGAAATACCTCCTAAAGATTAAAGCGCTTTCTTTAGGAGGTATTTCCTAATAAAAATTCTGACATCTGTGAAAATAGACTGGGTAGCCCCAATAAAAGGAGTAGCCGACCCCCCCCCCCCTGACTTACGCGATTTGTTCTACGCAGCAAAAAAATTGACAATTTAATATTCATTTTAGTAAAATGTATTTCCTAATAGGTATTTCCTAATAAAAATTCTGACATCTGTGAAAATAGACTGGGTAGCCCCAATAAAAGGAGTAGTTGACCCCCCCTGATTTACACGATTTGTTCTACGCAGCAAAAAATTGACAATTTAATATTCATTTTAGTAAAAACCGCACCCCATTGGAAAAAAGTGTCTTACTGGCCTTTAGTGTCATTACTGAGTTAACACCCTGTATATGTACTAAACTTATCCATTACTGTTACTTCACACCACCAAACCAGCAGGTCTGGGCCAAAAGGAGTTCAATTGTGTAGTTAGATAGTCTAAATACCGATTAAAATATAAGCTTATTCTAAGAAGTACTTTTTCCTTTACTTTCATTTAAACGAAAATTAACGAGAAAACACAGGTGGTACATTTCAGGCCTGACAATGTAGAAAGATCTAATTTTATGTTTTTGTGCAATTTAAACACTCATTGTTGTAAATGAATACAAGTACTTATAGTGTATTAGGGTTATTTTTTGACGAGCATCACACTTTTAATACTGCAATCAAGACATTGGCATCATCAGCAAACAGAGCAGTCAGTGTATTGATTGCAAAATCATATAAAACAGGTGGTTTCTCCTTTGATGTATTTGATAGATTATATAAATCACTTGTGTTACCAATTTTGACTTATGGCGCGGGAGTTTGGGGCACCAAACCACAGGCAGTTTTAACAAGTGTACAAAATAGAGCAGCCAGATTTTTTTGGTGTTAACAAATTTTCTCCTACCGCTGCTGTTAAGGGCGACATAGGTTGGCCATCATTCTATGGTATACAGTTAAAAGAGCCAGTGTGTTTATGGTGTAGACTCATGAATATGAAACAAAACAGACTTACCAAGAAAATATTTAATTGGTCTAGAAATAGAGAAAAATCGTGGGAACAATGGGTCAAAAGAATTCTAAATGTAAATGATCTTAGAAATATCACTACTGTTAACTGTACATTGGTACCACATGGCAAGTATGGCAAGTGATTTTAGACAGTCATATCTTTCACCATGAGTACTTTCTGGGCATAAATACAGTTGTTTTTATTAAAATAATATATTTTCTTTCAAGTGAAGTACCCATGATGATAAAAATATCAATCGAACAATTCAAAAAATTATGAATGGGGACTCCATGTCAACTATTTTTTCAAAAATAGAGGATCTCCTTTTTCTGATTTTTATTGCATGAAAATATTATTCAAAAAGGGGTTTAAAACTTCTTCAAAAGTAGAATGGTATTGAAAGTCTAGTTTTGGAGATTATTATACTGAATAATTATACTGAAAACAATGGATGGCACGAGTTTCCCTATGGGAAAATAACATGGGATATGTGGTTTTTAACTTTAACGCATTTCAATATACCAATCCCCTTTTCAGAAATTGTTCATATAGTGAAGAAAAAACTTTTGATATGGTTAAATTGAGAAAAACAAAATCCTCTTTTTGAAAAATAAGCCTAATACTTTTTAAAAGCGCCAAGTTGGGGTTCTAAACCATAAATTTCCAGAGAGTTGGATTGATATTTTACTATCATTGGGACTTCACTTGAAAGAAAACATGCTGTTTCAATAAAAGCCTTTGTATTAATGGCCAGAAAAATGATCACCCTGTATGTCTTCAACAATATGATTTTGTAGGCAGTCCTAATGTTACATTTAAAAAGCTTGGATACCGTAATATTCCTACAAAATTTTACATTTTGTTCATTCATCATTGTTCCCAATTATTGGACTAATATTGTATCAATTACACATCACATAGATATTTTACATTTTGTGATGTTGTTAATGTTCCTGACATATTTTTCATATCGTGTCTGCAACAATCTTAAATGACATTGTATGATAATTGAAACATTGTTTTATGTTTGATCTGACTTGTAAAACTGCTAAATCAAATTTTAATGTCTTTGTGATAATTGGTATATGCCTTTGTCTTGTAAACTTTAAGATATAAATCAACAAGAAATCATGGATTCAACAAGGTTGCTAAAAGTTCAATAAAAGACAATTAGCTAAAACCTCCATGTAAAATTATTTTATAATGTCTCTTCTCAAATGGTAAAAACTTCTTGATTCAAATACAAGGTATAAATTAAAAATGTTGAGTATTCTGTATGCTTGTGTTTTAGAGTTGAATATAACTAAAATAAGACTGTTAAAGGAGCACGTAGGTTATTGCAAACAATTTCAGAAGGTTATATATTGGATTACGACTATTTTCTGACAATAAAGACAGGTTTATCTTTTAGATTATTTCATTATCTTAAAGAAAATTATATGCAGTTATAATAAAGTCAAACAAACTAGGAGATATTTAACTAGCCATCAACCCATCAACACACTTTTTCAAAGATGTTGACCCCATTTTCACCAAAAATGCAATCATTTTTTACAATGTTTAATGCATTACTATTCTCTATTTTGATGTATCAAATAGTTCTTGACAGAAAAACTTAATTGCTTAAAGAAAAGTGTTCCCCATGTTATTTCTCCATTGAAAAATCACATGCTATCCATTGGTTTCAGTTCATTTTGGTCATCCAAATTCAGTATCTTTAAAGTCCCTCGAGCAATCAACTTTTTCTTTTAGGAAATCGAACATGTCTCAAAGCACTTTCTAATTTTGCATTCGACAATATAATAAAAGTCAACATTTTCGAAAAAGTATGTTGATTGGTCCATTGCCCCTTCAATATCACTTAGGTCTGATTAACTAAATTATCAATATATATTCTTTTCTTGAAGATAATGAATGGATCTAAAAGATACACCCATGTTCATGGTCAGAAAATATTCATAATTCAAGTTAGAATCGTTTGAAATTGTTTGCGATAACCTAGGTGCTCCTTTCCTTTCAGCACTGTAACTATTAGACCAGAAAAACCTGGATGATCTTGTATGCCATTATGTAACAGAATCACTTAGTGAGCATTTGGTATATCCAAACTGATGTAACATCATGCTGAAAAAATGATTGCTCAATTAGCATTTGAATGGATTTAATTGCCCACTGCTGAGAAGTCAGATAGCCACCAGCTACCGAGTGGGGATTCACTTTTGATTTATTGATCTTATCTGTTTATCTAATCTTTTAAATGAGGATTATCACTCATAATATCAATAGGCTATCCTAGACCCCGTTGCTTTAATAGCTTTATTGCATGATAAGTATCTCAAACTAACACCAAATGACAACATGTTCCCTGAAAACTTCATAAAACGATTATAATACTTCAGCGCGAGTTGCAATATTTTCTAGCGAATACACACTGAGACCGCTCTATTAGCGACTTAATTTAAGCATGGAGG